CCCATGCTTCCTTTTCTGTTTCGTATCACTACCTGCTCCAGCAGGCAGTGCTCCTATGGAAGTTGAAAACCTTGTCACCGTTCTCTTATTTTCACCCGTGACGGGCATGCAGGAGGAACTAGCCACACAAGACATATTTTCCTCATCCAAATGCTTTAGCTCTACTGCATTATCTCCAATTTGACTAGGATTGTGCATTTCCAAATCCTGTGAAATCTCTTCTGAACTCAAATCCTTAGGGTCGGCGGTAGACTTTTCAGGAGTCTTCAACAGTGTAGCTCTAGTATCATTGCAGCATAAGAGACCAAAACCTTCGAATTTTAGCAGGGAGGAATTATTATCCAAAGTCTTTTCATTAATTTGCCCCTCCTTTATCGGGATTGTATCATCGGATTTCAAAAAATGCGAATTTTCCGAGTTTATGATTATATCATCATACTTTCCTGTCTTCAATTTACCCTGTTTTAGATTAGATAGAAACTGATTTAAATCTTCAGCGCTTTCTGCCTCCTCTTCGTGCGCCGATTCCAATTCTTCAGCCAATGTATTTAATCCGCCGGTTTGACCCGATACGATGGAATTTTGGATACCTCCTGATGGTGCATCCTCTTGATCTGAAGAATCGTTGCTACCACTTCCTGCTAAGCTAGCAAGGGCCCCAGGCCGACTGTTGGACCTTGGTCGATGCGAATGATGTTTACGATGATGATGGTGGGTGATTATCTGATTTGAGTGAGTGATTTTATGTGGATGCCCATGTCTACTTGTATGAGAGAGAAGCGGTTCTGAAAGCGTCTTAATTGGTGGATCATCGCTTGCTGGCGTAACGATGACGCGCGGTCCGCTAAGAGAGACTCCTGAAAGTGGCCCCGATTCTCCAGATCCAACGGGCGGTGAAAAGTGAAACCAACTCCTTTTAATTTGGCTCTGCTCTGGTAAAATTGGTATCGCCTCCATGTTCACCATTTCGTTTTCTGCTGACCGATTATTTTGACTGCTGTTTTCCACCTCAGCGCCACTTCCCCCAACACCACATAAAGTGTTGCCTGAACTTGAAAAGAATCGACGGCCACATAAATGATGATTGTCTCCACCGCCTCGAGTTCCACCGCCAATGCCGCCGCCAGTGCTTCTAGTAGAGGAAGAAGGGGTGGGGGTCGATTTAAGTTGCCCAGAAGATGTAATACTTTGCGAGACAGCGTTATGGCCTGTGCGCAAACGCATTAAATGTATCTTCTCTTGAACCAGCTGAACTACCGACTTGCGCCTGCCAAAGTCAGCTGACTTTCGGGGCCAGGTCAGTTCTGTGCTGACTCTTGGCATTCGCCGGCGGCGAAGATGCCTTGCAAAACCAGTGA